TCTTTTTTTGAGACAGAGTCTCACTCTGTTGCCCAGACTGGAGTGCAGTGGTGCGATCTCGGCTCACTGCAACCTCCACCTCCCGGGTTTAAGCGATTCTACTGCCTCAGCCTCCTGAGTAGCTGGGATTACAGGCGGACACCACCATGATCAGCTAATTTTTGTAGTTTTTTTTTTTTCTAGTAGAGACGGGGTTTCATCATTTTGGTCAGGCTGGTCCCAAACTCCTGACCTCATGATCTGCCCACCTCGGCCTCCCAAAGTGCCTGGATGACAGGCGTGAGCCACCGTGCCCAGCCTATCTTTTGATTTGGTGGAGCAAACCCCAGGTATTTATCTTGTTTAGGAATGCAGAGATTGAATTACAACCAGCGGAGCAGAAGAACAAGTATGAAAAACAGAATGATAACTTTTTCTTCAAAGGCTGTTAACATAGGACAGAACAACCATTTCTAAAGACTTTTCAGTATTCCAGAACCTTTTGGTTCAAATTATATTTCCAAGGCTTTAATAATGGACAAGACAAATTGGTAACAGATATTAATATTATGATAAATCTCCTTGCATGGTAAAACAAAATGAGTGTTCTTAGGGTGTTCTCAATTAATAAGAAAGGAACTATTTAGTATAAATAAATGCTATGCTAAAAATTGGGGTAAGAAGGCCGGCGCAGTGGCTCACGCCTGTAATCCCAGCACTTTGGGAGGCCCGGGGGGCAGATCTCAAGGTCAGGAGTTCAAGACCAGCCTGGCCAACATGGCGAAACCCCATCTCTGCTAAAAATACAAAAATTAGCTGGGCACGGTGGCAGGGGCACCCGTAATCCCAGCTATTCAGGAGGCTGAGGGAGGAGAATCGCTTGAACCCGGGAGGTGGAGGCGGCAGTGAGCTGAGGTCATGCCACTGCAATCCAGCCTGGGTGATAGACTCCATGTCAAAAATTAATTAATTAATTAATTGATGAATTAACTAACTAAACAGAGATTCTAGGGGTAAGGGGAGTCCAGAGAATGGGACCTCCAGGATCAGGGATCACTTCTAGGAAGGGACATCATCCAGGCTGGGTCCCGATAGTTTAATGACAATTAGGCAGGTGCAGAAGTGAAGGAATAGACGTCCAGCTCAGGGGATGGCATGTCTAGAAGCCCCATGACCACACAGACACAGACACACAGAGACACACACACACAGACACATACATACACAGACACACACAGACACACAGACACACACACACAAAACCTCCACTCTTAAACCTATCCACATGAGTCATAATCTTCAATTTATCAACACACACCCAGCATCGTTAATTAAAAATGCCACAGACGTGGATGGAAAAACACAGAGTGTTTCATGTGTATGGCCTGAGTTACTTCTAAAAAGGTTTCAGAGTTTATACAGATAGATGTGGATGCCTAAATAGAAAGACACAGATAATCGACAGATAGATGTCAGCTCATATTTTAAAGTGTGTTCTTTCTATAGATTACGGTTAAAAAAAAGAAAGGAAACGTTGTCTTTGTGAACCCAGAAATCTCTTAATCTTTAACAAGAAATAGGAAATCTTTTGGAAAGAATAAGGCTGACTTGTTTTTCCGGTCTACGAATGCCAGCAGAAAGCAATGCTTTTGAAGTGGGTTTAAATGTTTCAGTGGAGACAGGCAGAGCCTGCTGTGACTGAGCCCAGGGGGTGGCAATTAATTCCGAAGAGGCTGAGTGATGCTGGTTATTGCACCAGACGACAGAGTATACTGTAGTTACTCATCAGGTCCTAGGGAATGGCTGATGGAAGAGAGACATCTAGTGGTGATAAATTTATCACAGATTTTTTTCACAAATGAATTCAACCGGCAGCTCACTAAAGACATTCCTTGCGCTGGGTGCAGTGGCTCATGCCTGTATTCCCAGCAATTTAGGAGGTCGAGGCGGGTGAATCACCTGAGGTCAGGAGTTCGAGACCAGCCTGGCCAACATAGTGAAATCCCGTCTCTACTAAAAATACAAAAATTAGCTGGGTGTGGTGATGCAAGCCTGTAAGGAGCTACTAAGGAGGCTGAGGCAGGAGAATGGCTTGAACCCGGAAGGTGGAGGTTGCAGAGAGCCGAAACCATGCCATTGCACACCAGCCTGGGTGACAGAGTGAGATTCCATCTCAAAAAAAAAAAAAAAAACAGTGCACAGAAGAGCCACAGTATAACGGCCAGACTGGACCCATCCATCTAGAGTCATGGCTTTTCTCCTGGTTCCAGGCACAAGTCAGTTCTCCAACTAAATGCCCCTGAGTGAAGGTAAGGCTGGGAAACCAGGAAGTCAGACACTGCTATCAGGCCATAGTGCAGACAAGTTAGAAAACACAAAGGAAAGGCAGGCGTGATTGCTCACGCCTGTAATCTCAGCACTTTGGGAGCAGAGCGGGGTGGATAACCTGAGGTCAGGTCAGGAGTTCGAGACCAGCCTGGCCAACACGGTGAAACCCTGTCTCTACTAAAAATACAAGATTAGCCAGGTGTGGTGGTGTGTGCCTGTAATCCCAACTATTTAGGAGGCTGAGGCAGGAAAATAGCTAGAGCCTGGGAGGCAGAGGTTGCAATGGGCCGAGATCATGACATTGCGTTCCAGCCTGGGTGACTAGAGCCTAATTCTGTCTCAAAAAGAAAGACGGAAAAAAAGAAAGGAAGGGAGGGAGGGAGGGGGGAAATACAAAGGAAAATACATAAACTTTCCAGAGCCTACTAAATACTGGTTTTGAGCAAAGATTAGTTTTCAAGGACTAGGAATGCCACTGATATCCAGTGATTAGAATGGAAAATTATAGGAACATGAGATAGAGTCCTGATTTAAGTTCACTTCTCTGTCTTAGCTCAGTATAATAACAAACACTTTCTGCAATTATTTCCACGGGGCCCAGGAGTAATACAGTTTGAAAAAAATATTTTCAGAAAGGTGTATGACTCACATGGGTTCCCAGAGCCATGGGCCCAGCTATGAAGACAGGGAAGTCACACAGGATGTCACTGTAGTTACCCTCCTACAAGGATGATGTGTGTAAAGAAATATTACGTTCCTTGGGAACCACGGAGCTTGGCGGCACCAACAGACTTGAAAGACTATTGTCAAACTCTATTCATTTTTCTAATGAGCCACTACAAAAAAAATGCTGAGGCTTAAACAATGACCATGATTTATTCTTATGTCAACCAAGTCAAGCGACTCCTTTTGTACCTGCTCTTCGACATTGATTTTATTCCCGGAGACTCTGGTCTAAGGTAAGCACCTGCTTAGAGTGTGTAGTTACATGCCCCGTCCAAATGCAGGAGAAGC